TTTTTTTGATTGGCAATCTTTGAACTGACATATCTAATTTCAGTTCAACGCACGGCGGTGGAGGAACGCAAGGTTCTACACCGCGACTGCAGCTTAAATAACGCAATGATTGTAGATCTGTTAGGAGGTGGTAGTAAAGGGTTTCTAATTGACTGGGAGTTCGCAGTGCGCATCAACCCAGATCTGAAGTATGCCATCGGTGGTACGGTAAGTGCGTTCAGTTAATTACAGTACGTCTAGTACTGATCTGTTCGTCCAATCTACAGGGAACAATCCCGTTCATGTCTCGCGGGCTTCTTGCCCAACTCTCAGATGCACAACAGGCAGCGCTGGGTGGAAAGAAACCGAAATATATCCCGAAAACGTCTTCAAACGCTTTGGCGTTGCCTGTATCGCATGTCATTCAATGCTTTTCAGACGACCTCGAATCACTTTTCTTCGTCTTCATCTGGATTTGCATCAAATTCTGTGGCCCCCATGGCCAGGTACGCCAGGATATGATAGGAAACTCAATACCTGATCGCTGGAACAACATGGACCTCGAATCCTGCGCGGCCTTCAAGGGCAATTTTTTCGCAACTAAGAAGGAGGAACGCCGTCTTGTAGACGAGATCCATCCTTACTTCAAAGACTTAATCCCTCTCGCCAAGGAGTGGCGTACGGCTTTGAAGGACAACATGGAGAACCCTGTTTCCTTCAACACCATCCTTACATTATTGAACACTCATCTTGACCGCCTTCCGGATGACGAGGAGCTCATTTCCACTGTCGAGACGCTCAGAAAATCTGCTGCTATTCTCGCAGACCGTGTCGAGAAGCGTGCCGCTTCGCAATCGTTCCCCATGGAATTACCCAAGCGTCGGAAGGCTGATGGTATTTCGGAGACTGACAACGAGTCAGACGGTTAGCATACATACAGGCTGATTATTCAATGTAAACATCGTTTTTCATTACTACTTTGTTGTACTCTCATTCTCACGTTGACCCGATGTACTGCGTTTTTGGTTGTTGTGACTTGTATGACTTATAAATTATGTTTCTTGGCAACTTGACTTCACACATTTATTCTCATCAAGATGAGTCACTCAAAACATGCAGCATTGATTATTACATGGTACGCGCTTCAGTGTGATGTTGCACGCATTTTTGAAATGTAATACTGTCCATTACTCGCATCAAGGCCGTTCTGTTGGTCCACCCGGCGCCGAGACATGATATTATTATATAAAAGACTGGTGAGTTTGCGACTTGATGAATTGCTAGACTCAGGCTTCACCTCTTTCTCTATCCTCTGTGTAGTTGCAATCATGCCTCCTCGTGCTATTAACAGCCCCAAGAAGAAGAGGTCGAAGCGCAAAGGCTCAGATGCTTCAACTGGCAGGGCAGGTGTACCCAAAAAATCTCGTCAGGCTACGGACCTCACCGAAACACTCAGCGTACCACTTGTTTCCCTTGGCCTTGCTGAAGTTGAAGATGGTGCTCCACGACGTTCTGGCCGCCCCAATGCAGGGACCGGAGGTAGGAACAGCCAGCTAGAAAAGATTGGTGCAGTCCTTGAGTCTCAGTCTCGAAGTCGTCCTCCCAAGGGCTCCACGTCCCTCAGTCCTAATATCCCAGTGAACCCTCAGGCTCCGGAACCAGCTCGTAAAGGACGGAAGGGTCGTTCAAAGGTCAGGCATGTAAGTATTCATTTTTACTAATGCTGATGTTTGCATTCAGGCGGTTCCTCCGCCTTATAGTTCACTCACGGTTACCAATGGTCCTGCGAGCATTGATAACACAGGTCCTGGTCTTTCAATGCACCAACCTGGCGGAAGGTTTGGTTTCGTTGCTCCTCCTAGTGCTGGCCGTAGTCTTCACGAGGCTAACAATCCACATGTCGCTGTTGGCTCGAAGGCTGTCAAGAAGCGTGCTACGAAAGTAGCTCGTGATCCAAACCCACGCAATATCATACCGCCACTCACCACCTTCGTGGAACAAAACTTGGATCCGGCCCTTTTCGAGGAGGACAACAATGTCAGGTGTCAACCTATACTGCGAGAATCCCAGCTATTGAACAGTGGACCCAAAGTCAGCAGCACCAACGACAGCGATGACGAAGACGAGGACGAGGACGAGGACGAGGATGGAGACGAGGATGAGGACGAGGATGGGGATGAGGACGAGGATGGGGAGAGGGAAGAGGACGAGGATGAGTCAGACGAGGATGAGCACACCAATGAGAATGGGTACCAACGTCACAATGGCCATCCAGGTAATTTCCTTTATCGTACTGAGATCCACCTGATGTTGTTCCCTCTTTCAATCTTACAGGCTTCTCAAACGAATCGCTACTTTCGCAGCCTCGAGTCATTCGTCATCTCTCACCTGAATTCGATTTTCAGTACTCCCGCGATGAGGATGATGCGGCTGCTCAGACGAGCCTCAATAAAAACACTGTAGCAAACTCTCAATCCTCGACCGTCCACCAGAACAGTGACTCCCAGGTATGCTGACATGGATTTACTGGCATTGCACTTATTCTTTTTGCTCTTAAGGGCTCTCTGGATCCTTTGGTAGGAGTGCAACGGCAACAACAGACACAATGTTCTGAGGTGAGCAAATGGTTTTTATTCTGAACGAGGCTCACAGTGATCGTTTGCATACCTCGAAGCCTAGCGACGTATTGGAGTCCCACCACAAGAAAAATGGCCAGCCCCGCCTTCCCGACCCTGAAACTCTTGAGCTGCTTCATCAAGTAGCCGAGCACGCTGATGACCAACAGGCTCCCCGGAGAAACAGAAAGATGAAACGGTCAGAAGACGGGCCCAAACCTACTCTATTAGCTTGGTACGGGCCGCGCTGGAAAAGCTTCCTTGAGCACACCAAGGGAGAATGTTGTGTGGAACACGCACTTGACGATCCGTTCCCGAGTTTTGTTGGTGATCTTCCAGGGTCAGTAACTGAAGTTCTCATCGCAACTTTAGTCATTTGGGACAAGGAAGGAAAACAATTCGAAGCTGGTGCGTGTTTGCTTCTTCTTGCGCTAATTTGTTTCATGTTGCAATCCAGGGGTTTGGCCGGAGCAAAAGTGTAACATGGCTCGATTGGTACGTGTTTCGCTCTCTTAATTTACAGTCTCGCTGATACAATAGGTCTTTATTGAAGTTATATGACGATCTTTCGACCTGGCGATCAGAACTCAAGAAAACTGCCATAGGCTTAGCACCTCTTGCATACTCACTTGTTCCCCCCGCATCAGTCCCCGCTCAAGAACGTGCAACGTGGGTCCAGAATGCTGCTTCGCAATTACTTTCGGAATCCGAGTTTTTACGGTTTGGATTGGATGCATTGGTGAGTGATTGTGCACTGACTCCGACGACATACATTAAAATCACTAGGGCAAAACAAGGAATTTCGCTCATCCTGGCCTTCGTGACGCAGTTATTGGATTCTTTTACACAGGGCTGTATCGAATTGCCCGGAAGAGGCCAGATATCTTTCGCAAGCAATTGCCCATCTCATGTTTGGCTTTGGTTTCCGCTGCGGTACTTTCTTACTTTCTGCCTTGACATCATGTATTGACATTTTTATAGTACAATTGTGTCCTCGACGGTCTCGTCAAAAACGGTCACGGCAAATCTTATCCCAAGTTCTCCGCCAAGGAATACGGCCCGATATACCGCCAGATGGTCAGAATGATCGATCAAATTCTTCAACATCCATATCACGGTCCCAGGTTAGTATCACAACTTCAGGAATGGGCTGAAACAGGATGGCAAGAACAACCTTTTTTTATTGAAATTTCGGATGCTGATTATTTTCACCCAGGGCCGCATGTCTAAAACTTGATGGCGCTGAGGAGACCAAACACACCCATCTACAAATCGTCCTCGACTAAGTCTTCGCATTCCTGTGTCCGAGTTACAGTACTACCATAGTTTGGGAGCCGTTTTTTGTTTCGTATTTTGCTACTACTAGTATACTGATGTTTCCGTACCACGTGATTGAATATATTGCCATCGTTCCTAAACACCTTGGGTGAACTGTACATAAATGAATGTGTGCACAATGATTGCTCTCTGAGTGCTCTGTGAGTGTCTGTACATACATAGACAGTGAAAAAATGTGCAATTTCACAGGTAGTTGTTATTTACTGGGTGGTCTGTGAGTATCTGTACAGAGATCCACAAAGTAAGGAGCTACTGTGACAAACTGGCTAGTAGGGACCAAGCTGTAGAGCTTGTGCGCTGTACAGCTCTGTACAGCTCTGTACAGATCATTCTGGTTTGCAGATGCTGACAGCTGCCCCCCATCCAATCACCAAGGTGTTAATGGGCGAAATCAAGTATTTATGACCGAAGTTGTGCTATTGTCTACAATAATTGGTATAGTTACATTTTGCTTCAGCAATTGCTGACGCCTGCATAGACTAAAACAATATAGTAGTGGGTCATACATTCCTTCGAGCCCTTATTGACCACTCGTCGAGTATATCATATATCACACCACCCATCAAAACCATTGCACTTTTTGCACCTCACGAGACGAGCGGCTTAGCTTCCTCATCTAATGACAAAGTTGCTGTTGGGTAATATCAGGTTTCTACCGATGTCATTCCGCTCTGCCTTAGCAATCACCCACCTGTACCAGACTGAGAGAATATGATGATTTGTCCGTGTCTCGTGAATTGGGCTACTAATTCGATATGTTCTAAGATCGCCGTCACCTGTCAGCCTCCTTGTGATTGTTAGCATGTACATAGAAGGAGAGAATATCCTGGCTTTTCCAATTATCACGCTAGATTTCCTCGTGCAGCCTACTAAACACATATGTGTATTATGCAGATACATTAACAACATGTCAAGAGAGGTACATAGGACCCTATGTGTTGTTTTCTCATGATACGAACACCAATATCGTAGGTCTTCACACATCAAACAAGCAAGCGGTAAATGCAAATCGACATTATATTGGGCAGGTTGCTATCTATTGTAAGAATAACTGGCCGAAGGGGTAAACTACTCGGAATTGAACAGTGCATCATCCAGTCGCGCCCTCTGCATCGCGAGAGCATTGACGGACATCTTGCCTTTCGCCGCATCACTAAGTTCTGTACGATGACTGGTACCAAAGACTTTCCTAATAAACAGTCAACGGCTTGTCAAATTGAAAGTATTGAAAATAATATACCTTGTCCACCATGTAAGCAACCGGTCAACGTTGCGCTGCGCTACTCGGCCAGGGGGGCGTTCAAAAAAGTCTACGATGTTGAACCAGAACTGCGTGTAATCAAAATCATCATCTATTGATCGCCACGAAGTCACTGATGAAAGTGCGAATCGCAACTACATAATTTGTTAGTACCTCGTAAGGACACGAAAAATTGACCACTTACTTGACATGATACATACGCGATCGAGCGGGCTGACACTTTATTCATCTTGATGATTTGCACCACGTGTGTTTTGACTTTCTTGCCCAAGGGATCCTTCTTCGCACATCTGTTATTTTCGATGATGTTAGCGCCATCACCATCGCCGGAAACGTCCTTTGCTGAGGAGGGGGATGTAAAGATAGCCTTGAATGCCTGCAAAAAGTGAGGTCTTTGTGAAGCTATCTATGTACGACGAACCTGAACTAAAAGCTTGCTTTTGAACAGACCTTCCTCGAGATTGTTCTGATCGGCAGTATATCCTGCGTAAAGGAACACCGGCCAAGACATTTCTGTCACGACATAGCCGTCCACGCGGTCCCGGATTCCTGCTCTGACGCTGGTGAACGGTTAGTGTCTTGAGATGTCATAAGTGTGATACTACTTACATTGGATCATTCCAGTCTAGCTCGGTTGGACAGAGCAATCTACCGCACGTGTCATGGGCAAATCCACGGCAGTGTTTGTCTTCGAGGTCGATGGGGGGATTGGGCCTCCACTCACGATTGACCCAATCTGGGATAAGGGTCTTAAGCTTTGAGGTATCATCCCCTCGAGCACTGTCGGCCCCGTGTCTAAGCTGAATGAAGATCCATCACAAGGTACTTATCGACAATGGCGAAACGCACCTTCTTTAACATGTGCATATAGTCATTGTATTCCATGTCAGAAACCTTTCTGTGAAACCACGGAAGGGTATTGTTGAGGATTATATAACCAAATTGTAGATGATCCTGACTGATATCAAACTAGTGAGTAACGCTCAGGAGATGGAGAGGTAAACACTGACACAAGAGTTATATTGTCGTCATCACTCTCGAGATCGCACCGCCTATCGTTCTCGGCTATCATGTCTTCGATGCTATCAAATAGAGCAACGATGCGCCTGATAGCTCGTCCTTGAGACATGAAGTAGTTTGTTTCCCTGATAACGGTTAGCGTGCAGAACTACATGATTATAGATGTCAACATTCATACCTTTGTTTCACCGCATGCCCTGACTCAAACACTTGCAGTTTCTCCTCCAATTCAGCAATTTTGCGCCTTTGTCGAGCACTATCAGACGTCGGCACCGCCATGGACGATGCCACGGAGGTCTGGGAGGATGCCTCGGGCTGCGGGATATCGTCCACCTGCGACATTAGCTTCAACGACGAGTAAAGGGAAAAGAGATTGAGGGAAAGGGAGGAGACTAGGGATGGATTTTGACTTCAAATAACTTCCACTCAATTTAACGGCCTTGCGCTGGTAGTACTATCCCTGGCAAGGGCAGCTACCCTAAATATGATTGTACGCCTATAATGGAAAGTTTCACACAGGCAACGGCGTTAATAATGTCAATACTCACCTTTTTCAGCGACGTGCAGCTTTCAAGGTTGCATGATGCTATTTCTAGCTCGCGGTCAATGTAAAACTTGTTCAGGTTCAGGGTGACGCACGTACTTGGGTCGGTGTCAATGTAGTCCCACGTCCAGTGGCTAGTATGGCTTGGACTCGGACATTCCAATGAATGCGAGAATTGAAGAAGGTTGCTGTGCAATGCAAAGTGAAAGAACAACATTGTGGAGCTCCGCTCTACGACACAGAAAATTTAAACTCCCAAGTCAGTCGTGCCCATATAACAAAGCCAGCAGAGCCTGAGGAGGCAGTACTCACCCCATCACCCCCCAACATTCTCCTAGCACTTTCCGTATGACTTGGCCCAAGAGTGTTACGCACTCAAATAGATCTGTTATGCGGAGCCCTAAGAGGGGCGTCGTCCGCTAACGTTCGTGACGTAACCGGAAGGGTCCGGTGTAGCGACTGAGACTGGCGACGTCGAGTCGGCAGATATCAGAGACGCGCGTGTCACGTGACTTCTAAGACGGATGTCTTCAAAGTCACTGACGTTCTCAAAGTAAGGACAGTCTTTGTCCGAACGATGAGGTGGTCGATCGAGGTAGACTTAGGCGCGATGAGCACCTAAGAAAAGATACTAGAGACTGAAGCTGAGGGGGCTTCAGAGGGAAGTATGTTCGAGGGAAGATTGAGTAGATTCAAGTTAGGGAATCTAGTACAGAGTGACCGACTACTTATACTAAGTGGAAAGGGTTAAGGGCAAGGCTACCGTACTGTAGGTAAGGGCAAAGGGGAAACGGAAAGGGTATAGGTACGATGGTGGCAGAGCCTGATTAGTGATGTAAGGTCGAATGCGGAATGAGACCGAGAAATGTTGGAACGAGCCAACGGTAAATGATACAATGTGCAGCATGCACGAGTCAAAGGAAAGATAAGACAAGATAAGGAAAGCCACATTGGTGGCACGAGTCAGAACGAGTCATAGCCCGAAGGCACGTGCGCACATTGGTGCGATAGGGGGGGATGAGGGACAGGAACGGTCCCGAGGATCCGGTCAACGGATAGTCGGTAGAGAAGTGCGAGCCGGAGGCATACGAGGGCGAGGACGAAGGGGAAAAATGATAGGGGGGCCATGTAGCCGATGTTACTTGTAACATTACCCCCGTTTCAAGGTAGAGTTCCACGAACTCTTTAATCGTCATCCAGAGGAACGTAGTCGTCCTGGTTGTTATACCATGCGGGGTCGAAGTCGAGGTCTTCGAGCCAGGAGGTGGCTTCGATTGCATTCTCTTCGCGTTCTTGCTCAAGGCGAGCAGCATCCTGGTCATACGCAGCTTCGAGCTGCTGCATGTCCCTGTAGAACCGGTCGGACGAGGTTCCACGACGAAGGATCTTCCTGCCGTCAAGTCGAGGGCAGAAAGGAGTGAGATGTTTTGGGGCAAATTGCCCACAAATGCGGCAGAAGTATTGCGCGCAGTGTTTCTGTTTGTGTCCGTAGACACGGCACTGGCGGCAGACAACGTTGCTGCGGTAGACCTGGGTGGTCTCGGTGGCATCACGACGTGCGTCGTTGATGGCGTCTTCCTGGGCTTCCTCGTGAGGGTAGTGCCTAGTGAAGTTCTGGGTGCGCGGGCGATGCGCATGGGAGAGGGGTAGTCCTAGGGACAAGATGGATCGTGCACGAGCACGGTGATTTCGGCGTTGCGGAGTGGGAAGGGGTTCCGGAGAACCAATAGAAAGGTGTGGGACCGCCTCGGTGGGTACCCAATCGTCGGGGTTGAGAACAGGTGGTTCGGGAGGGCATTCATCCAGCTCTGGGATGATGATAGAGATGGTGTCGGCATCGAGGACGGGGGAGGGGTTACGTGGAGCGTAGAGCTCACGTTCGTATTCATTATAGAGGCGGTCGATCTCGGGGTTGGTCAACTGGGTGACGTTGGGGATCTGCTCTGGTGATTCAGAGCGAGGTAGTTGGGGAAGGAAGGGGGTCGGAGCTCTGTCATAGACAGCACGCTCGACGACTGCAAGCGGGTCGGGAGGGGGATTAAATGCCCGCTCCTCCTCGACAGCCATGACAGCGGCATGGAAGTTCCTGAGTTCAAACAGATTTAGCAAGGCTCGCTTGATCTTGCCTTGGTTATATCTGGTCGAGACGGTGGATAGGGAAGTCTCCCTAGCCAGGTCGATCCTGGCGATATCGCCGGTGAGGGCATCGGTGGCCCTGAAGGCCTGGACGAGGTTCATGGTTATGTTGTCGTTGGTGCGGTTGAGATAGTTGTCGAGTCGGATTGCATACTGGGGATCGCAGATGACTGCTTCCCAGTAGGCCCGTTGCCTGTCTTGGACAACTGAGCGAAGGGATGGTCGTCGGAAGACGGTGTAGGAGGGCCTATCATGGCCATGCGTTGGCTGGCTCGTCGGGTCGGGGTCGGAGGCAGACGCATGAGAGGTAGCGGAACGGTGCGAGGAAACAGACGACGCTGAGACCAACATAGTGAAGCGTCTTTCCTTGGGTAGTGGTGTAGGTGGGGTATTGGGAAATGGGTCGCTGTTTGTCGATGGGTTTGGGTTTTGTGGGGCAGTGGCGATTGCGGATTCGTTGGCGATGGAAGGTTTTGGTATCGGTGTGGATGGGTTCGCTGGTGGGGTCAGCCCTAGTGTAGTGAGGGCGGTAGGAGAAGTTGCGGTGGCGGTTGTTGATCAACATGAGATGGCGATTGAAGCGATCTTGAGTCGCTTCTTATACGCCTTCAGGAGCTCCGCTGCGGACTTCAATTCTGTTTCGGGGAGCCACGTTCGTTCGGAGGCAGGATAGCCAACCCAAGACACGAGGTACCGGCGACGCGATCCGGTACCCTTGTGTTGGAGGATAGCTTCCACTTCGTAGTGTTCCTCTCCATCGATAAGATCAGGAGGAGGTTCGGTGAAATTCGGTCCATGCACGTCTGTCTCCTGATAGGAGGAAAGTTCTGAGGCATGGAACGTGGGGTGGATACGCCAGCTGGCAGGCAGCTTTAGCTGGAACGTGATGGGGGAGAGGACCTTCTGGATTGGGAAGGGTCCATATCGTTTCGGGGCGAGTTTCCTAGAAGGGAATCCGGTGATTAGGTTCGTGGCGGATAGCCACACCTTATCACCAACGTTCCATGGCTTGTAACGCTGGCCATAGGAACGATCAGCCATGCGTTGCTGCGCGAGGCTGTGGCATGCAAGGGCTTCTTCGCGGATCTTGGCGAGTGACTTGACTCGGTCTTCGGCGGTCGGTAGGGTAGAGTCGGGGAATAGATGGGGGATGCCTCGTGGTTCGTAGCCCATCATGAGATAGAAGGGAGAGGCATTTCTGGCAGAGTGTCGTCGGGAGTTATGAACAAATTTGGCCATAGGCAAGTGCTTTGCCCATTCGGAGGGAGTCGTCCGGCAGTAGATCCGGAGGTAGGTTTCGAGCTCTTGGTTGAGCCGTTCGGTCTGGCCATCTGTCTGAGGGTGGTAGGCAGTGGAAAGTGCGACTTGGTAGTCGAGGAGTCGTCCTAGCTCCTTTGCTAGCTTCGAGGCGAATTGGGGGCCTCGGTCCGAGATGATCTTGTCATAGAGTCCGAAGCGCATGAACACTTTCTTGAAGAAAAGTTCGGCTACTCCTTCCGCTGTGATGGTTTTTCTGCAAGGGCAGAGAATTACCCCCTTCGTAAGCCCATGGTCTACCACGACCATGACAGAATCATAGCCGGCGCTCTCGGGGAGGTCGGTGATTAAATCAACCAAAACCTGAGCGAAGGGCTGGAGGGCCGAGGAGGGTATCGGGGTGAGGGGAGGTGTCGTGGGGTGGGTGTTAACCTTCATCTGCTGGCACATGGCGCAGCCATCGACGTATTTCCTAATGAAGGAGCCCATTCCGGGCCACCAGTAGGATTTCTTGATGTTCCATTCGGTACCGGAACGCCCGGGGTGCCCGGCGGTTGGGTGATCGTGATGTAGAGACAACACGCGATGCCAGAGGTCGGGGGGAACGTAGGCACGATCCTTATAGAAGAGAACACCATCGGTGAACTTCCAATCGGAAAGTGCAGACTTCATGGGGGGTGCGCACACCCCGGAGAGGGCGTCCAAGGCCGTTTTCACAGTCTGGTCGGAGGGGTCGTCAGAGAGTCGTTGAAACTCGTCTGCGAGTTCAGCGTCGATTAGACGGGTGAACAGGGTGTCGGGGAGGAGGATACGATCTTCGTTATCCTGACCAGCTATAGCGTGGTCCGGACGGCGGGATAAGGCATCCGGTGCAGCGAGCTTTGTTCCAGGAACGTGGTGAAGTTCCAGATCAAAGTTGGTGAGCGTGAGGTGCCACCGGGCCTGTCGTCGGGTGAGTCGTTGTGCGGAGCGGAAATAGATCAGGTTCTTGTGATCCGTGAAGACAATGACCGGGTGAGGGTTTCCTTCGAGGAAGTGCCTCCAAGCCTGAAGGGCTCGGATGATGGCAAGGAGTTCCCGGTCGTAGATCTCATAGTTCCATTCGGCTGCGTTGAGGGACTGGGAGAGATAGCCGCAGGGGTGGTAATCCCCATTGCTATCGGTCTGGAGCAAGACTGCTCCGGTCGCGAAGAGCGAGGCGTCAGTTGCAAGTGCAAACTGACGCGAGGAGTCGGGGTTCCACAGAACCGGTTCGGTGGTGAAAAGCTTCTTCAGATGCTGGAATGAAGCTTCGGTAGAATCGGACCAAGAGAAGGGGATCTCCTTCTTGGTTAGGTCGAGGAGAGGGCGTGCGATGTCGGAGTAGTAGGGAATGAAATGACGGTAGAAGTTGCAGAATCCGAGAAAGGACCGCACGTCCTTGACCGAAGAGGGTTGTTGCCATTCGCTGATGCCTTTCAGCTTGGCAGTGTCCATAGCGACCTGTCCGGGTCGAATGATCATACCGAGGTACTCGACTTCTTGAGAGTCGAAAGTACATTTCTCGGGTTTGAGGAAGAGAGACTCTGTGCGGAGTTTCTCCAACACTCGGCGGGTCCTCTGCCGGTGTTCGTCCAGGTTATCTGAAAAGATCAGGATGTCGTCCATATAGACGATTAACCATCCTTCGTTCAGTTCTTCTGAAAATGTCTGGTTCATGTAAGCTTGGAAGGTGGCGGGTGAGTTGCACAATCCAAAGAACATTACCTTGGGCTCGAAGAGCCCATATGAGGTGGAGAACGCAGCTTTCCACCTGTCGTCGGGATGAATGAGGATATTGTTGTATCCTGAGCGTACATCGACCTTTGTGAACCATTGCGCCTTGTTGAGTTTCGCAAGCAAGGGTGGTATCAAAGGGAGTGGGTACGTGTTCTTGATCGTCCATTCGTTGATGTATCGATAGTCCTGGCAGGGGCGGAGAGACCCGTCCTTCTTGCCGACAAAGAAGAATCCAGCAGCTTGAGGAGACTTTGAGGGTTGGATGAAATCTTTGGCGAGGTGTTCGTCCAAGAATGCTTTGACAGCGTCGGTTTCTTTTGGTGAGAGCGGGTAGGCTCGAGAAGACTTTGGAATGAAGCCTTCCTTTGTTTCGATCTTGTGGTCTACTCCTGGTCGTGAGGGAGGGAGTTTGTTTAGACCGTCCTTTGCGAAGATGTCAGCAAAATCATGAAGATAGGAAGGTACCAGTTCTTCGAATGATTTCTTCTTCTTCTCCTGTGCATCCTCCATGGCAAATTCTTGAGCTTTGTTGGAGGTCTTCGTGTAGTCCTGCTGAGAGGCGAGGATCCAGAGGTTCCGGAGGGGTTTTGCTCGCCGGTGGAGAGCCTTCCGGATTTCTTTCTTCGAGGTCCCGTCCTTGGTGAGCGGGGTGTCGAAAGAGATGTTCTCGATGATCCGGACGGATGTTCCGTCCGAAGCATATTCCACTAGAACTTCATCGTCAGTGAGGGGATAAGTGGAGATCTCCTCAACTTTATCCGCGAGATGGGTCTGTCCGACCCAGACATCGTCCATGGTGTTGAAGTCGGTGTCTTCGAAGGGCACGATGATTGGCGCCGTCTTCTTCTTGTTACGCTTCTTGCGTTTCTTGATTTCTTTGAGGCAGTGTTGAGTGCCTTCGGGGAGTCGTTTGAGGGGTGAAAAGTCCTCGTCGTTGAGTTCTTCTAGGACAGCCTTTTCTCCACGAAAGAGATATGGCTTGGCCTTGCTTTCTCGACGGGAGGCGTTGAGTTCCCTCTCCACCTCCTTTGACCTATTGGTCGCAGGCAGGGAGATCGTGTTGGCCTTCCAGTCGATATTGGGCATCATGGCACTAAGCCAAGGTTTTCCAAAAAGTAGATCATCATGCTTGGAAAGTTTCGTTACGTTGAACTTTCCATACATAAGTCTCCGATCGAGACGAATGAATAGCATGCAGTATTGGGTTACCTGTCCTGCCGAGGATGGGCTTCCGTCTACTGTGGTGATCCGGAAGGGTTTCTTGAGTAGATGGGTCCGGATCCCATTTCGCTTGACGAAGTCATAGCTAATGAAGGTCCCACCTGCCCCTGAGTCGATGATGGCGGTCGACTGAACGGTTTTGGCACTGCAAGAAGAGAAAAGTGTCACCGGGACACGAAACTCGTTGGATTTACCAACAGCTTTAGTATACAATGCGCAGATAGAGGGAATTGACCGTTCGACAAGCCCTCTCTTTAAAAATCCTTTCTTTTGACAAGGTTGACTTCGATGTCTTCCTCGTCAGAAGACTCGTCAAGCTGGCGGACGCCAGACTTGCTTGGCTTCTTGCCTTTGTCTTCTTCGTCGTTCTTGTCTCCTCGGCGCACCTTCGGGTGGAACCGGGAATCATTTGCTCGATGGCCCTTCTCCTTGCATTTGAAGCAAAGGCCTTTATCGAAGCACTTCTGTCGTTCCTCAGGCGTGAGGGAACGGTCGACATCCATAGCATCAGGATCGCGTTGGCAGACCTGAGGCTTGGGGACGTGCCGGTGCCCGGAAGGGCGTACCGATCTGTTGTTGGGCACAACTGCTCTTGATCGCTTGTAGTTGGCTTCCAACTGTGTCGCGGCAGTGTACCACTTGTCGATGGTGGTGGGGACGACCTCCTTCCCGTAGATAGCGGTTCGAAGTCCTGGTTTCAACCCTCGTTCGAAGAAGTGAATGAGGGCGACGTCCTGCTTGAGACTAGCAGTGGACGACAGGGTTTTGAACGTCGCAATGTAGGGCATTACGTCGCCGGTTTGGCTCAAACCATGAAGCTTGGTTAGAGCCTCAGTCATCCAGTCGATCGGGTGGAAGGATTCGATGAAAGCCTTCTTGAAGTCCTTCCAGGTACCGAAGTCGACGGCAGGTTTGTCGAAGGCTGCTCGGTAGAAGGTGTCAGCCCAGACGCGGGCGTCTCCATCGTTCATGTACTGGAGTGCAACAGCGACCTTGGTTTGGTCGGAGCTGTAGATCGTCGAGTTGATGAGGAAGTATGTCTCCACCGAGTACATCCAGCGCTCGGCATCATCAATGCTTCCATCATAGTTCTGTGGTACTCCAGCCTTTAGTTCAGGCCTGGATACGACCACTGTCGGTTGTTGGGTGGGGCCTCCGGACATTCTTGTTCCAGGGTTCGAGTTGAGGTTGCCGTACGGTTGTTCGTCGGGAAACTCGTCGGAGGACGTGTGGTCTTCTTCCGATTCTTCTTCTTCGGAGTCCGGAGTGTTGGGATCGCGTTCCCAAGGGTACTTCGGGGTCCAGGTAGTCGTGGTGTCTGTCGGTTAATGGCCGTGCGGATGGCAGGGCGCAAAAAGGGGAAACTTGAATCTTTTGTTACGCACTCAAATAGATCTGTTATGCGGAGCCCTAAGAGGGGCGTCGTCCGCTAACGTTCGTGACGTAACCGGAAGGGTCCGGTGTAGCGACTGAGACTGGCGACGTCGAGTCGGCAGATATCAGAGACGCGCGTGTCACGTGACTTCTAAGACGGATGTCTTCAAAGTCACTGACGTTCTCAAAGTAAGGACAGTCTTTGTCCGAACGATGAGGTGGTCGATCGAGGTAGACTTAGGCGCGATGAGCACCTAAGAAAAGATACTAGAGACTGAAGCTGAGGGGGCTTCAGAGGGAAGTATGTTCGAGGGAAGATTGAGTAGATTCAAGTTAGGGAATCTAGTACAGAGTGACCGACTACTTATACTAAGTGGAAAGGGTTAAGGGCAAGGCTACCGTACTGTAGGTAAGGGCAAAGGGGAAACGGAAAGGGTATAGGTACGATGGTGGCAGAGCCTGATTAGTGATGTAAGGTCGAATGCGGAATGAGACCGAGAAATGTTGGAACGAGCCAACGGTAAATGATACAATGTGCAGCATGCACGAGTCAAAGGAAAGATAAGACAAGATAAGGAAAGCCACATTGGTGGCACGAGTCAGAACGAGTCATAGCCCGAAGGCACGTGCGCACATTGGTGCGATAGGGGGGGATGAGGGACAGGAACGGTCCCGAGGATCCGGTCAACGGATAGTCGGTAGAGAAGTGCGAGCCGGAGGCATACGAGGGCGAGGACGAAGGGGAAAAATGATAGGGGGGCCATGTAGCCGATGTTACTTGTAACAAAGAGAAATGCGTTGAGATCTGGTGGCGAATGCAAGCGACAACAACCATGTACGCTTGAGACCAGCGTCGTCTTTTACAGCGTCCTTGCCTTACGACTCCCTGGGCAGATGTCTGACGAGTGTACTTGCTGGTGGCATTTCATTTGCATTCTCGCGTGTGATGCTGATGCGATGATTCTGAAGCTGTGTGATGGTTCTTCGCGATCAGCCATCAAAGTTGAAAAAAAAACTGAAAGAATAGACTACTTACGCGAGTGTTGTTGGCCATGATGTGAATTGAAATACAAGGCGATTGCGATTGAGGATTCAGCGGTGCTCAAGACAACAACTGTTTCGGTTGTAGCCAGAGAACTGGTGCTGGAGGTACCTTCCAACTTCAAGGCAGTCTCGGCGTGGTGAGCCTTTTTGGTTTTCGCATGTTCTTTCCTCTCAGTCTTCTCTTTGGCATCATTTTCTTCTTGCTTTACGATTTGTCTCACCATCAGGACGCGCATGATTGGGTTTGATGGGACATTACCTCTTTAGCAACCTTCTCTTCTTTCTGAATAGCTTTGTGAGTGACATCATTCAGCAGGACAGAACCAAGCACGATACCTCCTTGCGTTCTTTCTCCTCGGTCTATCCCATGGTCAGATATCACAATAGGACCGATCGAGTCACAGGAGCTTACCTCTTTCTTCTCCTTCGCCTCGCACTTGAAATAAATTCAGCATAAGTCACACAGATATTGTACCACGCGTACCTTCTGCCTTCTCCTTCTTGAGCTTCTCCCAAGTCTCGCGTTCTTCAATGATCCTGTAAAATAGTTGAGTCCGTGATGCACTTCCCAAGTTATGTATACGTGCCACTGTGCAACTTCATCGACACATTCGCGCGGGCGAACCTTATTCTTTAACAAGTAACCTTGAAGCGCGGCAACCTGAAACGACGTCAACGGCAAATATATTATCGCTTCCGGAAACTTACGCTTAGCTTGTTCTCTGGGATAGCATCTGCGAAACGCTTAGCAAGCTCAGAAATTTCAGTCTCATCAAGCACAGGAATAGTGTGACTGGGCGCCTGGCGCTTTGGCAGGGGAAGGTTTTTCTGCGAAGTGTCAATGTCCTCTTCAGGTGGAGATGTGGTAGCGACACCAGCAGGCTTCGAGGGGAAGAAACACTTGAAAATGCCCTCGGCTTGCCATTTTGTCGCATGTGTGAAATTCACCCAGACATCATGCGTCCTGGGCGACTAAGAGCTGGATCAAGGCGCTCAATATGGTTAGCCGTAGCAAAAAGCAGTCTGGTGAGGCATGTTAGTGGCGCAGTTTCAGAGGGTGATGACAAGCTGACAACGTAGATATCCAGACCTAATTCACCCGCCAATAAATGTATCAATGAAGTCTTGCCGCTATGACCAATGGAGCGTGAGTACCGGTGGTAACTAGAGCACATGAATCATACGAACCTTCCAGGAACACCGTGCAACAGATATCCACGGCGGAACGGTATACCTGCGTGTCGTCAGATCTGATGTCAATGTTACGCCATCTCATGCACCTCTTTCAGCATACCTGGAAAAAGAGGTTATGGAGTGTTTGAAGCACGTCTAGTACTAGTAC